GAAGTTTGATATTTTAAATTGAGGATAAGGTTTAATATTGCAAGTTGATGTTAAAGTTTGGTTTTGATAGTTGATGGTGAGGACAAGTTGATGTTGAGGTTTGGTTTTGAAAGTTGAGGCTTAATGCTGCAAGTTGATGATGTGTTTTGGTATTGCAAGTTGATCATTTAAAGATTTGATATTGCAAGTTGATCATCTAAAGATTTGATATTGCAAGTTGATCGTTTAAAGATTTGATATTGCAAGTTGATGAGTTGATAATGAGTTGATAATGTTTTATTTTACAAAATAAAATTAGATTCCATGTACTCTTCTAAAAAAGATTCAGCTCTGGTTACCTAGGTCCAGACCCAATAAGCATAATTTTTTAAACTACAGCTCATAAAATCTTTTGTGGTTCAAAACCTTTATTTGTATTTTTGTAAACATTCTTAATCAAGAAAATCAAACAATTTAAATTAAAGCAAATAATTATTGAATTATTCATAAAAATAACTTAGTATAATACATTTTTGCTACAAATCTGGTAATATAAGCAACTCCATAATTCTCCATTTAATACAGCAAAAAAATCAGAGATTATATAAAAATTATATATAAAATACACATGTAGTGTATTATATATATAATTTTATGATTCAAATTTGAATTTTATCAATATTTCAACACATACTTTACTAAAGCCAACATAATATATACTATTTGAAGGTTTTTATGATTAGTATATTGTTTTGAACAAATATTGATAATTTAGTCAATGCATTTTAATTGATTAAAAAAATAAAGACTTTTGATGAGTTCAAAAATTTGCAGACAAAGTATTTATTTATTAAAAATGTAGAAATTTTTCAACAATAATTTATCAAAATTTATTAGAAATCACATTACTATTTTGTAGGACTATCAATCAAGAACGGTATCTACTAGACATAAAGTTAATTAAGTTACAATCAAGAACAGTATCTACTAGACATAAAGTTAATTAAGTTACAATCAAGAACGGTATCTACTAGACATAAAGTTAATTAAGTTACAATCAAGAACGGTATCTACTAGACATAAAGTTAATTAAGTTAATGCAAACATCAATAGCAATAAAGTGTATAATATCTTGATTTGTAAAGTTGATGTCTAATGTTTGATGGTCAGCATGTTTCTGTGAATGAATGAATGAATGGCATTTAATCTCAAATAACTCAGTTAATTGGAATATCAACTTCAAAACACGAGCTTACTTTTTTTAAAGAATTCTTGAACCAATTTAACATTGTGTTTGGGTTTGTTATCCCGATTGTACATCCATCCTCAAGTCATTTTATCATTATTACCTTGCATAAGGTAACACAATGCTCTTGCATACCGCCTTTGTATATTTCTTAATCAATAGTTTCAGTATAAACATCCTAAAAGCATTACCTCCTTCATGTTTTAAGGTAAACAATTGGGATTTAAGACCATATCTTGTACCTACTATAAGAACTGTATAATTATTATAAACTTATTTTTTTACTTCATAAACTTATTTTCAAAATAAGTTTATGAAGTTCTAAACTATAAGATTTAGAAGGGATTGATAGGCGGGGCTAGAAAAAAATTTGTAATACTTTTTATATTATAATTTTATGCTTACATTTACTATTTATTAAACACTGACATATATTTATATATTTTCAAACTCTTTTACTAACTCTTGTTTACTTCCAACAAGATTGCAAGCAACCACTATAAAGTTATGATTTACTTTAAAATAGAGAAAAATTAAAATACTAGGAAATGGTTAACTGAAGACTTAAAAAGTTATAGGTTGTTCATAAAAGAAAAACATAAAGATGGCTAATAGTCATATAGTTTTTTTGATGTGCAAGGAAAAAAACTGGATTAATAAAAGTTTTTATAAGTTGAAGGGACATAAACAGTAAAAAGATGCAACTTGTTGAATAAGAAACAAGCAACAATGAGTTTTGGTTTATTGTACTAGAGATAATAGCTTGTTTGAGCAATGACCATGATTGTATTTGTAGAAAAAAGAAAGAAATACAACCTTATAACCATGGGAGAGTGGCTCAAGCTTGGCAAATAAAACAAGTCTAAATAATAATAATTATTTTTATAAAATGTTAATTCAACTCCCTAATACTGAATTAGTTAGAGGCTACTTAATTGTGGTTATAACCCTCTCTCAACTATATAACTCCGGAACACAAACCTTGACAACCAAGGCCGCTGTGCAGAGAAACAAGTTGAGCGCGGTACTACCAAGGACGTGGTAGAGATCGATCTCAGTACCTCTCACTTATGATGCAAATGCTCTACCACTACACCAAGACCACATAACGCTTACTATGTGTTTTTAGACTTTGTCTGAGGGGTTTGTTATTCATCATTATAGGTATACCAACATTATTGCAATACTTTTTTGCAGTAATTAAATGAGATTTTTTGGCTAACAAAAATTGCAGATTTTAAGTCCAGAATTTAAATCCATAAGCCACTGCAAGCCTTACATAGGTAAGGCTTATGTAAGGCCACTGCATAGGTAAGGCCACTGCAAGCCTCAGGCTGTTACAGAAAAGAGATCAGATTAAAAAGCAGCTGTTTGTTCTAAACAATCAAAAAATGAAGATGTTTTTTCAACAGATAGAGCCACTTTAGATGCTAAATTTTCATGAAGATTGATATTGTAAATACGAAACAATAAAGGAGCAAAGATTTAAGGATACCACAAGATGTGGTACCCTTAAAGTTACTTTAAATAATGAAGAGTGTAGGCCTTCAAGAATAACTTTATTATTGCAGCTAGTAAGAAATAATTTAATAATCTTAAAACCTTTATATAAAGAAACTAATAAAAGAGTGGACTAATCGTAGGATAGTTGGAAAGGTCAAAGTGTTTTCTAGAGTTTTGAAAAATTGGAACCACTTATTCAGCACTTTTTAAAAATTAAATATTATTAAATATTATATAATAAATAAGATTAAATGTTAGACTTACTTTTGCTAATGACACTGTTGAAGACTAACCAAAAGTCTCTAGAACTTAACATCTGATATAAGATACAAGATTTAGTAAACTGAGAGAATAACAGAGCTTAACATCAGGCAGGACCTTTTTATTGGTTTCTTGGAATAATAAATGGACATTTGTTCTTTAGAGAGATGTTCTTGTAAAATAGATGAAATAAATGATTAATAAAGCGACTGCTGAAGATGATGAAAAATATGGAGTAGAATGAGATTTGAATTAAAATTGAAGAGTAGGAACAAAAGCTTCCAAACTTTTAGTCCAGAAGAAATAAAAGCTTCTGAGATGCGTTTTATGCATGCATATTATGAATATAAACATGTTTGCTATTTGTTTAAATGTTGGCACACAATATCCTATCATATTTATATAAACTTTAGTATTTATATGGTGTAGCATTTGCCGAAAGAGAAGAAGAATCATCATCATCATAATTATCACCATCATTATTATAATGATGTTTATATATGCATATATAAACAAAATATAACATGAATTTTGAATAAAAAATGTATACTTTAGGATGTATGTTTATGCAGCCCTGGTCACAAACCTGGCCCCGGCTATATTTTATCAAACCCAGCCACGGCCCCGGTTAAAATCAACCCTGGTTATTAACTAATATATATATATATATATCAGCCTTCTTTGTTTAGCCAGCGCTTTCACTCTTAAGTCATTTTACGCTCGCCCACACGGCTGCAAAAACAATGGCTAGCGCATAAAAAAGCACTTGCCAAAAAAATAAAAGTGTTTTGTTTTAAATTGCAAAAAAACTATTTTGTTCATTCGTCAACTTTTATAAAAAAAGGCTTTTTTTTTACCCATTTTTTTAAAATTATCTAATATTTATTTAAAGCATTCTTATCACTATTTTTATTATATTTTAAATAGCAGACAAAATTACATTTTTAAATCACGCAGACTACTTTAAAAATGACCATCCTGCCAGCGTTTTTGTGTAATGGCATTAAATTTCAAACAAAGAAGACTGATATATATATATATATATATATATATATATATATATATATATATATTATATATATATATATATATATATATATATATATATATAATATTTAGAGTAATTAATATATCTCAAGCTGTTCTGATTAAGAATACAATTGTATAGAGTAGAAATAAAATAAAAATAATATAACAAAAAAAATTTAGTCAAAAAATTTTTTTTTTTCATAACTACAAAGCAATCTTAAAATACCTTCTAAATTATGTTCATCTGGTTTGATGGAAGTTACTTTGTTTAGTTGCGATTGGTAAAGCTATTTGAAAAAAAAAGGAAAAATGTTTTAGAAAGCATTTTTATTCTAGCTTTTTAATATTTTATTTTTTTATAGAAAAATGGATAAATAAATAAATTTAAAACAAGAAAGGTTTAGAAAGCATTGTATAACTTTTATTTAAATTATATAAATGTTGGTAAAAAGTTCACTGATGACCACTTTAAAACTGAGAATATACCTAAAAGTACTCCTTTCAGCACACTTAATTATTTAAAAGATAATTAAACATGCTGAAAATGAATCTGATTACCAAAGAGATCAAGCAAGTAGAAGAAAGGCTTAAAAAATAATGAAGACAAACATTAAAAGGCTCAAACTTATGTTAGACCATAAAGTTGGAATTTGTCAATGACAGACAGCTAAAAAGCTCAGCAACACATAAGTTAACATTTGAAAAAAAGATAAATATTGTTTCAAGAAAATGACAATTCCAAAACTGACAAGGAAAAAGCTAGAACTAAGTGCAATCGATTGTGTCTGAAATTCAAAAATTGTAAACCAATCATTGATGATGAATTTTCTTTAATGTTAAATCGTTTAAGTATAAATTGAAATGATATACTTTATACTAGTGATGTACTAAATATATTATACTAATGAAGTATATTTGTTAGTATAAATTTATTATAGTAATGAAAATAAACCATCTACAGTTAAATAACAAACAAAAGTTT